GTATCTTCTTACGTCTTGTACTCATGTTAAATAAGTATGTTTGGATTGCCATTATTTGGCTCCAAATTATTTGTTTGCATTACAAATACAATTTTTAAAGCATATTTTTATGGGTAAACAACAAAAAAGCCCCCTGTGGTTAAGCAATCATACATAAAAACCCCCTGTGGTTTCATATCATACCAGTCGATACCCCGTGGTTTGAATTAACCTGAAAAGTGGACGGAAATCGTCAAATATTCGGCGTGTGTCTTAAACGAATTGCAAAGGCGCTTGCATATGCGAAAAACAGATTTCCACCACAAACTTTCACCTGATATGCCTATTTTAGCCTTCACTCTTTAATAATAAGAGACCAGCTTCCGTTTCTTCTGAGTCTTCATTCAATCTGTTTCCAGATTATTCAGTAACTACTGTAGACACCAAATTTTTAGTGTATTTTTATTTACTATTATTTTTATTTTTCATGCTAGTTTTTATTTACTTTTAGTCTTTTATTTTTGTTTTAAGTCATTTTAGCATAGAATTTATTTTAAAAAAAAAGGGGGGGAAACCCGCAAGCGGGTTTCAGGCTATTTAACAAATTACTTAAAAAAAAAAAAAATTACATGCAAGCTGCGTTGAGTTGCACATGCCCATCGGAGGGCCCTATGATGCCCAGCAAACCTCCCCTCTCATCCTCACCCTTCAGGTGAGGGTTTGAGAGTATGTGTTTGATATAAATAGAACAGAAACGCAGCTTTTAGTCATTTTACATAAGGGGGAAACCCGCAAGCGGGTTTCAGGCAGGCTATTTAACAAATTACTTAAAAAAATTTTACATGCAAGCTGCGTTCTTCAAAAGGGTATTTTCGTCTATTCACTCAGCTCCGTCTGTTTTGCCGATTTCCGTCCACTTTTCAGGTTAATTCAAACCACGGGGTATCGACTGGTATAATATGAAACCACAGGGGGTTTTTATGTATGATTGCTTAACCACAGGGGGCTTTTTTGTTGTTTACCCTATTTTTATCATCATAATCATCTTTTTATCTCACATACACTATATCATAAAAAGTGTTATAGTAATTATTTCAAATAATCTCTTATCCAAACACATTATCACATTTGAATGTGTGATAATTAACATTAATTAAATTTTAAATATAAAATTTATATACATGTCATGCATCCAATCATAATAGTGTGTGCACTGACAGTATATATATGATCAACACATTTATCATTAAAATGAATAAATTTTGCATAATTTTGTTTTTTTACATAAATAATATTTATATTAGTTTTTGTAAAGAAGTTTGGATTGCAAAGTTACAATAATTTAGTAGTTACAATATTTTGGAGTACTCATGAATTGTTATTGCAAAATACTTAGGTAGTTATATGTATTGATGTTGACAATATGCGATTAAGTGAGTAGAGTAATTTTTTTTATAAGGGTACAATTAGAAGTTCAAATAATGACAACAACTGTTTACACTAACTTCTAGATTTTATATATTGCATAGATACTAGTGTTTTTTGAACACTCGATGTGTGTATAATAAAAAAGCATAATATTTATAATAAATAAATTCTATATGAATTTTTCATTATTAAAGTAAACTTTAATCTCTTAAGTTTTTTCTACATAAATAATTGTGATTAGGCATGTCAATGGGTTGGGTTTTATCCAGATTCAACACAGACCTAATATATCTGGGTAGGATTTGGATTTAATTTTTCAAATCTAGACCCTACCCAGACCCAGACCTTGTGAGAGAGTCGTGAGTCTGGGTAGGGTTTGATTTTCTAGAATCCATATCCAAATTCAGATCCATACCAGATCTTACCCAAACCCATATATATTTAATTAAATAATATATATTAGTAAATTTATAAAATAGTATAATATTTTATGGCTTTGGATCGAATAAAGTAAGATTTTATGGCATCAGAATCTGCATTTAGTGTTGGTGGTTGGGTGATTGATGAGACTTGTGCCAAATTGCTTCTAGATATGATTGAAACATTAGTGATTACTAATGATTGGATTGAATAAAAAAAATAGTAAATGTTTATAAATTTTCTTATTCAATTATTTATTTACCATCGGCCCTTAGTCAAATGACTTTTATCTCATTCACTATTTTAGTGCTAGATTGCGAGACCTCTACCAACATTGAGATTTAAATAAGAAAAAAGGTACAAAATTACATTTTTTTAATAAGACTAAATATTTATATATGCTATGGTTGTCTTCTTTTTTAAAAAATTAATCTTAGTTGTCATTGTAATTGGTACAAATTTTTTTAAGAAAAGGAGAAAAGATAAAGGCAAACAAATGAAATATTGGATGTAGATGCAGTTGAATCTTTGAAAATATATAGAAGTAGTCAATAATATTTCTTTCTTTGAGTTCACAATATTGCATTCAACTTGTTGAATGTTAATTTTATTATTTGAACTAGGGGGGAGTGCCTGCACATCGCGCGGGTGTTTGGTGCCTGTGGGGAAGGAGGTTTTTTTGTTGAACAAATAATAGTACATTGTGAGAAGAAATAAAACTTAGTATGAAAAGATAAACGATATAATTAATCAATTCACAAAGTGTTACAATAAAATTGTGTCAAATTGAAGGCCATTGATAATGCAGAAAGGCAGAGCAACACAGAAAGTTAACCTTATTTCATAATCCCCACCGAGAGCTCTTTCTTGCTGTTGCTCCAAACCTATAAGATTATAACCAATCTAAACCAATTGGGGTTAGGCAACACGAAAAATGCTATCCTGCAGCTAGGCAACGTGATAAGAGTCACTAATTGTAGATACTCAGAATACACCGACAAAATTAAGGGGGGAACTGAAAAATTGGGGGTGAAATCTAACCTCACGCTGAACCACCAGCAGTAGCTGGGACTGAAGAGCATTCTGAGCTGATTAGTATGAAGCCAAGTAGAATTATCACAATCCTAGAATACGAACAGGGAGAAACTGATAATCAACCATTTAGGCATTAAGATACCAACGGTTCGGCAATTGAATTGGGTGTAATTAATGACGAAATAATAGGTAATTTTAGAGTTGAGTTCGGATGGAAGAGAAAACGATGAGACAAATCGTTGTAGACAAAGGCAAAAGGGAAAACTTAACTCCTGAAGCTGAAAGGGGATAAAATGACTAACGTTTGTGGCTCATACATGTAGATTATAAATGATAGAGAAATAAGTTTCTACCATTGATAGAGAAATCGTTGGCTCATTTCCTAAATCCGATTACCATTCAAATGTTTCAGACAAAGCAACATCTCAAACGGTTATTTGCGGCTGAAAAGGGGAATTATTGGTAGTTAAGGGATATTCCGGTAATTACACCAACATACAAGCATATATAGGTTGTACAAAATGCAAAAATAGTTGCACAATAATTACACATTCCATCAATATCCAGATGGCTCATCAATGACAACTTTAAATGTATTAAAATAGGGTCATTTAAGTAAACATACCCAAATACATGCTTCATTGACTTGTACCTAAAGCTTTTAAACTAATACACAACATTTCACATTCCTAGAAAGCCCCCACCTATGCGGTTGAAATTCAACCTATTTTTTGACCAAAACTCAATCTTATATAGTATAAGGAAACAAAAATTGGATGGTATTTATATTATTTATGAACTCTATATATTTTAAATACATTTTTACCTTAGTACATTCAGAAAATACCCATGGATGACCATTGGATACCCAATCCATAAGGGTTTGGGTATGGACTTATTTTTTCAGACCCAAAAGGGTCTGGACCTGGGTCTGGGTCTAACTAAATTAAATGAGTTTAGATCTCGATCAAAGGGATCCAACTCAAACTCTACCCATTGACATGTCTAATTGTGATATTGATAATTATAATGTTTAGGGTTAGTCATGTTGAAAAGTACATAATTAAAGCAAAACAAGTTTCCAAGATAACTAACCATAAGCATGTCTTTGGGTAGTTAAAATAAAAATAGTTCATACAATGATAAAAATCAAAGTTCAAAAAATGACAAATGATGTCACACGTTATCTTTCATCTAGTCATTGACAACTTGATTAATTTTTAAAAATAGTAGATAAAAACAATATTTGTAATGCTTGTAAGAAGTCCTATCAAAATCAAGAAATATTAGGTTTGCCTGCCATCCGTATCTGAATAAATAGAGAGTTTTCTGAAAAAACCTATTAGAACAGGGTCAGGGTATACATCTTGAATTAGAGATACAAACGAGTCAAATCAAATTGAGTTTTGGTCTAATCAAACCGAGTTTTAATTTAGTTTTATGAAGTTTAAGTTCGAGCTCGACAAACTCAAAATGTAAAATTCGAATTAGAGTTCAACTCAAAATTGAGTTGAGTTCAAGATTAAAAAAATAAAATTATTTATTTTATTTTTAAAAATGAATAAAATAATATTGTTTTAATAAATAATAAAATATTAAAGATATATATGTAATTTTACTATTAAAATAATATATATATATAATCGAGTTGATTAGCAAGATAACGAACTGAATATCTTTGAGTTCGAGTTCAAGTTTAGACTTGAGCGAGTACAAACGGTTCGATTTGTTTGCAACTCTATCTGGGACTATAAATTGCTTCTCATTCCCATATAGGCAACGCGATTTCAATATTAGAAATAGTACGTCATTATCAACTGGGGTTAGTAACTATTCTCAACAATTGCAAATTCTAGGGAAGCATCAAACAAGTCCTATACTAGCATAGACTTTTTCCTGAGTATTTCACTTGACATGGTACGTTTTTTATTATTAGAAATAATCTTTTGAAAAAAAGATATTATAACATTTTTTTTATGTGATATATGCGAGATAAAGAGGTATTTTAAAAATCTGTTTATAAATATAAGTAAATAAATTTGTGTAAATAATCCACGTTGTAGTGTTATATTTTCCTTTTCTTGTTTTCTCCTTCCAGTTTCACCCGCTTCCACGGGAGTACCAAATGCACCTCTAATTACACATGTAGACCAAAATGCCCTAACCCACTGCACAATCACTGAAATTAACTAAATCTAACCGGTTAAAAAAATGGTAAAACCATTAAAAGGAAAGTAGGAGAAAATTACAGCGGCTGCCGTATTTTTAAGCTAGCGGTGGAGTGGTCCTCCGAATTTTGATGTCATTGCTCTGGTTTGTACTTGGCCAACTAGCTGAGATTGAATCCATGGTAAATTTCTCATATTTCCCTCCTTCCAAGTTCCAACTCACCTTGAACGGAAAATTATGAGAAGTTATTCCATTTTTTGCTGACCCTTTATATCTATATTATATATGAGTTGTTGTTTTCTTGATTTTTTGCTGCTCAATTGTTGCTGGATTGTCTGATTAAGGTCTTAATTAAGGACATCGGCATGACATAGTAGCTAATATTTATCAACATTAGGGTTTCTCATTCCTTTCTTGAGATGATTGGATTTTGCTAGGAATAGTTACTAGAATCTTAAAAAGTCGCTTTTTTTTTCCCTATGAAAACACGAGTTAAGCGACAGAAGGTTTTTGCTAGATTTTGAAAAGCGTGAGATAGAATGGTTTCAAGAACATCTATTTGTTCATGAATTTTTTTTTGCAATATAGTAACTATGATTGATTTGATAAACATAAGACCTGAATAGACTGCCCCGACAATGTTAAATAGGATTATATTAAGGCGATCAGGTTTCTCAGCATTAGCGAGATGTACTGTTGAGATTTAAGATATTGGTTAATAATGATGAAGGGCTGAAGGTTATGATTTTCTGCCACCAGTGTTGTGTTTCTAAGTGAAATGGATGTCTTAGAATTGGATAAAGTGCCAGAAACTAAGAGTCTTTGTTCCTCATCCTAGAACGAGGTTTTGATTTCTCAACAGCCGAAATCAGTTCCTGTTTTAGTTCTTGCCATTCTGAGAAAGCTGTTAAAAAAAGACTAGTAAAAAAATGGATACATTTGTCTTTCATCAGCAGTGCAAAATTAGGAGCTGAAGATCAAACTTGTCAGTTACTTTATGCAAATTGTGTCATCTTCAGTGGTATTGTTTCACAATTGACGCGATTAGGATTCTAGTGGCATTGCAGCTGCGAAATCGGTTAAAAGAGTTATATTTATTTTGTGCTGATAGCCTTTTTTAGGATAATTTTGAAGTGTGCAGTGTCACAAATAGGAATACTTATTTCTTTTGGTAACGTGGAGCTAATTTATTTCTAAAACTTTTGTTTTCACAGGGTAGTTCGAAGAAAATTATAACAAAAGAGGAGTGGGAGAAAAAGCTCAATGATGTAAAGATTAGGAAAGAAGACATGAATAAATTGGTAATGAACTTCCTGGTGACTGAGGGTTATGTTGATGCAGCTGAGAAATTCCGAAAGGAATCTGGGACAGAACGTATCCTTATCATTTCTTCAGGATAACTGATTTTACATGATATTGCATTTGTTATCAGGATTTCAGTTGGCATGATTTGCTTTTCCTTATGACTTTATAGCTGACATTGATTTGGCAACTATAACTGATCGGATGGCAGTTAAGAAGGCAGTGCAGTGTGGTAATGTGGAGGATGCAATTGAAAAAGTTAATGATTTGAACCCTGAGGTATGCTATTTCATCTTCTTAATTTTGCTTGTCTCTCACCTATCACCTTCTTTTTTTTTTTTTAAAAAAAAGGGATAAAGTAAAAAAAGCCATCTTTAGAGTCTTACCAACTTTGGGAAGAAGTAGGTGTTTGCATACATCAATAAGTTCTATATTTATGCATAAACTCGTAAAGCATGAGTCGAACTGTATATTGATGTGTTTGTGAGGCGCATTATGTACAATTTTGCAAATTCTCTACGTTCACAAATTGTATATGCCGAGTCAAGACATTGAGATGTTTGGTGATTACAAGCATGAAATTGATACATGTAGATGCAATTGATTGGTGCATGATGCTATTTCTTCCCCATCCTTCTTCAAGAAAGAAATTAAGGGAAAAAAGGAATAATAGAAGAGAAAGAGGAAGGGAATTTTAAAGGAAAGACTAGACCGTTGGTGATAAATCCCTGCACATGTTTCAGCTTAACTTTTATGTTTGAATTGCTTTAATCTACTTTCAAACCATGCTGTGTACTGTTTTTGATAAGATTGCTTTATGAAAATTTAGCTGAATCATGTTTAAGTTAATGATGATGTATATGAAGACATTGTAAAATACTGTCATTAGATTGAATAGATCTTGCCTGTGATTTTTTTTTTTTTTTTTTTTTAAATTTGGAGGATAATATTAGCCTCAATATGTGAAACTTCTGGCAATAGTAATGAGGTTCTTCACATTCACAAGGAAGTCCTGTCTGCATCCTCTGCAATTGCTATTTACTAGATGGGATATAGTAGGAGAATGTTGCCATTTCTTTGGGTGTAATACTGACAGAATGAACTTGGCATCTTGCATTTCCTTGATTATCAGTACCTAGCTGTATCTTTGATGGAATCTTTGATGGATTAATGTATTTGGTTTGATGACTAAGTATTGGGGTTGATTTTGGTTTGAGTATTCGGTTTCATGATCTGTATTATCTATTCTGGAATCAAACATAGATTGACTAACATTTAATAGACGAGAAGTGCTGATTATTTAAGTTGAATAACTTATTTGAAACTAAACAAAAAGGCCTATTGAAAAGTATTTGTTGCTCATGATAGGTGCTAGCCAGATTTTTTTATTATTATGGAGCCATTGCAGTTCAGTATGGCATAAAATATGATTTATGTACTAGGCATGATACTGGAACAATTTTCCTTGTGCAATATTCATTTGACTGAAGATTCCGGTATGTGAAGAAGAAATTTTTTTTAACTCAATGCTACATTGTATCTTTAATGTTAACTATGGTTTTGCCCTTTCATTTCTATGTTCAGTTTCATAGTGCATTACTCCATTCATTATTTGAGTATATCTGTAAAGGAGGGAGACCTTCCTTTGGAAACGTCTTGTTTGTTGCTTTTGCCACATGGTGCTGTCTAAGCACAAGCAAGAAACATGTAAAGTTTGCCCTTTTATTGCTTAAAAAACTATTCATTTATGGAGGAAAATGGTAAAATATGTGTTGAAATAGAAAAAAGGGGAACATATGTGTTTGCATGCTTGAAGGCAAGTGGCATTCTGGTTCTTGGTTCAATTGAACTCATATCACATAGTAAGAAATCAAGAATTTTGTTGACAGAACAGATTTGAGTATGGAGATGTTGCACCTTTTGACATTACATAACACTAGGCTGAAGCTTCATGGGATTTTGTCATGTAAAATATCAACCATGTCCTTCGTTTCATGGAACAATGATTTATACTTTAGTTTGAGATGAGAGTTATTCCAGTATCTCCTATGAATATATCTCTTGAGTTCAACAATTTTGAAGCTGTGATGTTTATGATGTTCATTTCTTTTGATCAAGACATAATCGAAAATTTTCATGCAGATATTGGATACAAATCCCCAGCTCTTTTTTCATCTTCAACAACAAAGGTTGATAGAATTGATCAGAAATGGAAAAGTCGCTGAAGCTTTAGAATTTGCTCAGGAGGAACTTGCTCCAAGAGGAGAGGAAAATGTAATTCTTAGCTTGTTATGTAACGCACTTGTTTATATTCTCCTCCATTTACTAATTCTACCAAATGCTTGTTAGTCAAGTCATGACTGCTTTTCTACATCTTAATTGACTCAATTTCATTAGTCTTTTTTTGGTTACATTTTTGGTTAGCTTGATTTTTTTAAGTATCAAGCTTAATATTCTTGCATTATTTGTCTCAATACTTGATTCTTACTAGAGCAGGACATTTTGCAGCAAAGCTTTTTGGAAGAGTTGGAGAGGACTGTTTCCCTATTAGCTTTTGAAGATGTGAATAACTGCCCTGTTGCTGAGCTTCTGGATATATCCCAGCGCCTTAAGACTGCAAGTGAAGTGAATGCAGCAATTCTTACCAGCCAAAGCCATGAAAAAGGTTACTCTTTATTCTCCAAAAGTGCTTCTGTAAAACTTGATATGATTTGTGGTAAACATAGAAAGAATGCTTATCAGTCTTTTACAAATGTCTTTGATTATTGCCTCCTCTGAAGTTAACATTGAGTTTCAGTTCTTACAGACATGGTAAAGGTTCACTTATCTGTCCTAATGTCAGTGTTAAAGTCATAATCATGCTCACCGATGTGCATTTATTGGCTATTGAGGTTTATAAGGTACAATTCTGAAGAGTAATTAGAGCTGTGAACGAGTAAATTTAAGCCAAGTATTATATGGGTAAAAATTATGCTCGGTCGGCAATTAGTCAAAAGTTGAGTAACTCAGAAACTATCAAGTCAAAACTTTGTCCAAAGTCAACCGTAAGAAATCATAAGCAAGCTCTTTCTAAGCTCATTCGGCTCATATAGTTAAATCAGAATTTTTTTTTTTTTTTTTTTATCTCTTGCCAATCTGACAAAAATTTGAACATTTTGAGTTCAAGGGTAGCAGCATCAGAAGATATCAGACTGCCCAAACATGAAAAAGAGAAAAAAATGTGTACATCATTAGAAATGAGAATCCATATTCTCTGCAAAACAACTTAATCAAACATTCATGCATATTATGGCTCCAACCTTGATTTCCAAGGCTTAGTGGCAAGTGGAGTCAGTGTTCAATGTGAATTCTATTGTTTACAGGTGTGACAGTTATACGCTGACATATTTCTCTTGTGATGTCAAGGAGTGAGATTAATTAAATATCAAATTATTAAAACATTGCAGAAATTTTATTGCGAATGCTCGTGGATACGTACTATATTGTTTGTCGCTATGCTTTAGAAGTTCAACATATCCTTGAATGTTCTCTCATGATGACTGGAAAACAGATCCCAAGCTCCCAAGTTTGTTAAAGATGCTGATCTGGGCACAAAACCAACTTGATGAGAAGGCTGCTTATCCTCGCATAAATGATATATCTACTGCCACCCTTGAAGATCCTGGTGTTTGAAGGACATGGAAACTCCTTGATTGTTGATTGAAGTTATGCCCATCTGGAGGCACTGCTCATTCAACGGTACGACAGCAAAGAGCTGCAATATGGTGTATCTTGGACGAAAGTAGTTGGTCAGTCATTCATGGATGTCATTTTCATTAATTTATACTACTTTACTAGGGTAATAGGTCTCTCCACAGAAAGCCTTGCGGCAGCACAAACTTGGTGTACAGCCAATGGAAACAGTCACGTATTGCTCCGTTCTGTTCCGAATGTGGATTCTTTGCCAATCTCATGTATAATAAATGATACTCCTTGTGTCCACTTTCCTTTACAGTATCATTAATGATGAATTTAGTTTGTTATCTAGTAGTACAACAGATGGGAACAGTGATGGCTCTCTGTCTTTGTATATGTCTGCTTCTTGTCAGTGTGGGTATTAAATAAACGCGTACAGTCACTTATTATTCACAACGAAAAGCGTATCTGCTGTCTATACCGCACGGAAAATTAATAAATTTCTGGGTCTCTCTGTCGCATGTTTATTGTTGCCAATACTAATGTATTAGGCTGTTTTTGAGAGTAGGCCAGGGGTGATTATTTGCTAAAAGGCCACTGGATAGACCATATGTATTAAAGAATCGAAGTTTGGAAATGTTCGTAACTTAATCAAGAGTATAGCCAAAAGGACACTATTTTCGTACTCTTGCAGCAGGTAGCAGAAGAGAATCACAAAGAAAGTACTGTAAAAGGAAAACAAAAACTTGGAAATAAACATGAATGCGACTCATATATGGTAGTAGAAAATGTAGAAACACAGAACTGCGTAAGAGTTAAGACTCCACCCAGATGATATAAATCCAGGTAGTATTATTAGTCTTGCAAGAGCTCTGCAGTTTGGAGTTGGATGGCTGCTGGTAAAACACCGTTGTTGTTTTCTCTCCCGATTCATGACAGCCGTCGTCAAAGTTGAGGGCATAGCTCGAAGGATCATAGTGGAATTTGAATTGATGTTTACCTTTTCCACCACCACCAGCGCTCTTGATGGCCTTCTTCGCTGCTGCTCTTACTCTCCAGAAAAGGCTTCTGCACTGCTTCTTGCTGTAACTGTTCACCCGTGAGAGACTTCCTCCCAATGCCATCATGCTAAATGTACACCGTATATCTTGCTTTTCTCGATATCTCAAAACGAAGAAGAGCCAAACCCTAGTTTCTGAGCCAAAACCATGCCAAAGTAACCTCTTTCGAATTTCGATAGTGCAGCTTTCACAGCAGAGCAAGCGCTTGAAATCTATCTTTATCTGCAATTAGAAGCGCGTCATGGTCAAGAATAAAGGACAAACATTTGGGATGATGTGAAATGGTAGGCAAATGCTCTGCTGGATTTTTTTTTATTTTTGTTTGATGTGGTTCTTGAAGTTCTTCCTGTAGGGGAAAAAGAAAGATATTTCCAACAAAGTTCAGAAGATAGTACCCAAAAATGACTTGCGATGTTACGTGGGAGAGACCCTTTCTACATTTACGTAGAACTCAAAGAGAATACTAAGAGAAAAGCTTCCAAGTTTTTAGTTGATGAGACCAGAAGGAAAGACAAAATAAAATGCAAATGCTGGTGTGTAGTTGTGTTGGCATTTAAAGGAAACTGCGCCCTACCAATTGCAGGCTTCCCCACGGACCACAGTAGCACTGTTTTTTCTCGCATCGGGAGACTCAAATTCCATGATCCAGAGAGAGACAGAGACAGAGACAGTTTGCTATGGGAAGAGAGCCCTGTCCTTGAAGGCCTGAAGCATCACAATCCTAGCTGTTGTTAAAAAAACAGTCCTCAGCTGAATTCCTCGGCAGTTAATAATCAAACCCTCGTTTCTATTACTAGTAGCATATACTGGTAGCATGTAGGTCACATTATTGGATACTACTTCCAGTTACATGGGTGCAACATTTTGGGGAAGCTAAAATCACTTGGGCGATCAGGGCAGCTGATATTTCGGATAGAAGGGAGTAGTTAACTTTTGACAAAGATTTTGAAGTTTTCAAAGATTTTATTTGTGCAAATTTTTAGTTAGAATTAGTTGTGGCAATGTGACTAAATTTTACTAATCACCTTTTGATAATACAAAGGACTCACCCATTAATCCATGATCTGTGATTAAGCACCAGCAGATTTGTTGGCTTTGTATTCATTCCTCTACAGATGCAATACTGGGCAATAAATCCTTGTATAAAGGCGTATTATTTAGTGCCACCTGAATTTGGAGTATGAGGGTGCCCGTTAAGATATATTTTCAGGTGTCATATTTTTTGAAATGTAAAATTAATTAAGTAAAGTAAATAAATACAATGATAGATAAGATTAAATAGAAAAAATATATAAATACAAAGAATATTAATAACTGACTGTTAGTATATATATATATATGGTAGGATATATAAATGTTAGGTTCTACCGGGCATTTCCTTGCCTCTTGTTTGGATGTTTCCTAACAAAAGGAAAAAAATAAAATAAAACACTTGTGCGTCTAAGAATTTGGTATAATTTTGCGTCCCACCAAATTTTGGGTTTTTAAATGGTCAACTTAACTAGTATTTAAGAATAAGTGAGATTCGAAAGAGTGTAAAATCAAAGAGTAAGTATGTGTAAATGCAAGTGGAGCCAAATATAAATCGTCCGCTGTATACTTCTTTTTTTTTTTTGGAAAAGTGGGAGGTCTTGAACATAGAACCTCCTACTTACGATTCCTCTGCTCTAAATTGTGAACATGTACACTACAACAAAAATTATGGTTTTTAAACATTAAATTAATCTTGTTACATAACTAAATAGTTTCTCAAGTAATTTTTGTGTATGTTGACTTAATGAAAACTACATTAATTATAAATTGTGAATGTGTACACTATAACAAAAAATTTATGCTTCTTAAACAATAAAGTAATCTCCGCACATAATTAAATAGTTTATCAAGTACTAAGAAGGTTCTGATCTAGTGATTAAAATTGAGATCCTAAAAATTAGAGGCTCAAACTTCAAATCTCTATTCTTCCTTCCCCGCTTCTTAACTTTCACTCCTACCCTATTGAAAAAGAAAAAAAAAAAGCTAAATAGTTCCTCAAGTAAGTTTCACTCCTATCCTATGAAAACCAGATTACTTGCTAAGCCAAGAGCTTGGCTGTTTTGGTAACTAATTATCACGCACGTAAAGTGGAGTGCAAGGTACTACTAATCAAATTAATACAACCAGCCAAAATTCATGTGAAATTCCTATTTACGGCCTCGAGTAGAGAGTATCATGTGAAACAATCGGCGAGGAATCTCCTTCGTGATCCATCAAATCAGAAACCCTTTTTCCCTCTAAACTCATTTGTCTCCAACAAAAGATGGTGTGGTAAAATGGGTTCAGAATTGTAGATTTCAGTACTTCTTCTCATTGCAGTAGCCAGTTCGGACTTTGCAGATTCTCAATAAATTCTCTTTTGCCTGAATTTTGGTCCCCTCTCCCTTAGCCCTATTCCCAGTACCTTGATTTCGTTACCCTGGTTAGTGGTTACGGGTGTGAACCAAAATGTTGACTCAATCTGCAAAAACAGATCAGTGATTTTTCGGATCCGCTAGTGCGGATATTCGACATCCAGATATCTGCATTCTGCGGATCGAATTAATCAGATTCGATGCTCAATCAATCCGTATGCGATTTTTAACATTTAAAAAAAAAACTACAAATCCCAGAGACAAAAAGAAATTTAAATGCATTAGAATTTTAAAAAAATCATGTATTTCATCATATTTTTTTCTTATTTTGATCCAAATAAATAAAATATTAAATATTTAATCTACACTTTTTTATCCACAAATTACATGACAATATGTTTAAAAACTTAACATCATATGCAAAAAAAAGTCTATTATGAAAGAGGACAAAGATATGAAAATAAGAAACAAAAGATAAAGTTATTATAAATTAGTGGATTTAATGTATTCTAAAAATGTAAAAGATACTTTGATATTCGTGGGTCACAAAAAATGATATCCAAATTTGATCTGCATAACTTCTTGATACGGACGTGATTTGGCGGATCGGATATCCGCTGTCTCAGGTTCTTTCGGATCATCTGCACACCCCTATAATAGTGGTTAGTCCCACTTCCTCCTACATCCCCATCTGCAAAAGTGAAGGTGAAATTTTGTAATAAACAAAAAAGTAGTAAAAGAAAAAACCATAAAAGCCAACTGAGGAAGATTGACTATGAATTCAATTTCTGATGCCCCGGGCCCTGGTATAATATTTTCCTCATCTTCCTACACATTGGCTTTCTGTCCTTGGCAGGATATAAATGCACTGATATACAACAAAACATGTTTGGTTGGAAGCACATATATTAATGTAATGTAGTCATACATTGTTGAAAATTATATATATAATTAAAATATTAAAAAAATCATTTAAAACATTGCTCATATTTTAATAAATAGATTTTTTGTCTTTCGCTTTGAAAATAATAACTTTTCGTCGTCAAAGACTTTCCCGGTAGCAATTTCTTGAGGTCGACTGATTCTTGCTCAAGTCCATTGTGAAGAAATATAGCTCAAAATTCATTAATATTTATTTACGGCCTGGAGTTAATCACGTGAAATAATCGGCGAGGAATCTCGCTGGTGATGCATCAAATCAGAAACCCTTTTTCCCCGTAAACTCGTTTGTCTCCGACAAAAGGTAGTAGTGTAAAATGCGTTCAGAGTTGTAGATTTCAATGCTTCTCCCCAATGTCTAGTTGCAGTAGCCAGTTTGGACTTTGCAGATACTCAATAAATTCTCTTTTGCCCGATTTTTGGTCCCCTTTCCCTTGGGCCTTGATTACCCTGGTTAGCGGTTGGGGGTGTTCACGCACGCATTGATATCAATGATATGTTGACTCGATTCGCAAAAGCGGATCAGTCATTTTGTGATCCATATTCGGATCCTCCGCTAATGCGAATATCTACACATATCTGCAATATGCAGTCGGGTCAATTAGATATTCGATTCGTATCTGATTTTAATTTTTTTTGAAAAAAATATAAATCCAAAAAGTAAAATGAAATTTAGATGCATTAGAGTTTCAAAAATATCATGTGCCTAATTTGCTGAACTTTTTAGTCAAAATTAATCAATAATTCTGTTTTGTTGCAATATAAAGTAACTTTTATATTTTTTTTCTTATTTCGATTCAAACAAATAATATTAAATATTTCGTCTACAATTTCTTTATCCACAGATTACACAACAATATGTTTAAAAACTTAACATCATATGCAAAGAAAGTTTATTTTGAAAGATGATATCGATATCAAAATAAGAAACAAGAGGTAAAATAATTATAAATTAGTGGATTTAATGTATAAACA